ATGGATTGTTATTCATCAGCATTCATTCACAATTGTTGAAGAAAATTATTTTATTAATTTTGTACATTCCCTTCATCCATCAGCAAAAATTCCTAGTGCTGATACAATAAAAAATAAAATTATGACTTATTATGAGGAAGATAAAGTAAAAATGAAAGCACTTCTTAAGGATCTTCCTGGTAAAGTTTCTTTTACCATGGATTGTTGGACCAGCCCTTCAACCAAATCATTTTTATCAATAACTGCACATTTTATCAATAAAGAATGGAACTTACAAAATATTATAATTGATTTTATTCAAACACAAGATTCACATACGGGAAGTAATATAAAGGATGCATTTTTATTAGGTATAAGTAATATGTCACTTGAAAGTAAGGTAAATTAATGTTTATTTTATTTATTTTTTTATTAAAAATAGATTAATTAATTATATTAATATTTATTTATTTTATTTTATTTAGATTATGGGAATAACAACAGATAATGCTTCTAATAATTCAACATTTATGACTTCTTTATCAATTTGGGCAGCAGAAAATGTTGTTAATTTTAATAAAAAAGAACAGTATATTAGGTATTTTGCTCACTCAATTAATTTAAGTGTAAAAGAAGCATTAGGTTGTTTGGATGGTGAAATTTCTTTGGTAAATTTATTAATTATTTTTATTAATTTGTTTTTTTATTGAATTTTTTTAATAATTAAAATAAAATTTCATTCATGTTATTTAGCTTAGAGAACTAATTGTTAAAATTCGTGCTTCTTCTTTAAGAAGAGAAAAATTAAGTAATGCCTGCAAAAATAATGATATTAATGATTTAAAGCCCATCTTGGATGTTCCTACAAGATGGAACTCAACTTTTGACATGATAAAGAGAGCTTTACAATTAAAAGTTGTAAGTTTTATTGTATTTTTAATATTTTAAATAATTTTAATTATTAATTATTATAAATTTAAATTTAATAGGCACTTGAATATATTGTATTTCATGATAAAGATCTTAAAAAATATACATTTTCAGAAGAAAAATGGGCTATATTTGAACAAATCAAAAATTTTCTTGAAATTTTTAAAGAAGTTACTGTAATTATTTCAGGAAGTCATTATCCAACTCTTTCATTAACTGTACCTTTATATAATATACTTATTGATCATGTTGAAGATGTTATTGGTAATGATAAAGAAGATAGGACCCCGGATATCTAATATAAAGGTCATAATGGACTTTTGGCCAAAAACACCCCTTTTTGCTGAAACTCAAAAAATCGTTTTTTGTAAATATCTCAGCATCCAGTAATTCAATTTTAATGAACTTTTTTTTATTTTGTAGCCCTCATTTAGCTCTACAATTTAAAAAAATGTTCATCAAAATTGGACCACTGGATGCCGAGATATTTACAAAAAACGATTTTTTGAGTCCCTGAAAAATGGGCCAATCTGCCGAAAGTGTGACTTATGACCTGTTTTGGAGATATCCGGGGTCCTAAGAAGATGATGATGATGAAGATGATGATGAAGAAAATGAAGAAAATGATGAAGAAAATGATGGAGAAAATGATGATGATGAAAAATGGAATCAAATAGTAAAAAAAACAGCAAAAAAGTGTAAAGTAAAATTACTTGAGTATTATAACAAAATTAATGATACATATTTAATTTCAACAATTTTGGATCCAAGATTGAAATTAAAATATTACAAAGATCATAATTGGGAAGAAACATTAGTTAATACTATTTATCAAAAGTAAATATAAATTTAATATTTTTTTTTTTTTTTTTA